TTATTAGCAGTGGATCATATATATGAGTTCCTTTTGAGGTCTAGGGTGAACTTGAGTCTCAAGAGATGTTCATGACAAGGAGCCTCATTAAAAGTACAACCACTCAACATAATTAGAGAGTAGTCAAGATCCATGTGATGAGGTAATGTTATTAGTTTGGTTTTAGAGTTATTGATGGGACAAGCCAGTTAAAGCTAGACCAGAGGAGAAATCAGCTGCCAGGCTCTGATATTTTCAGTGTCGTGAAAAATTGCATTAATGTACAAGGTGTGTCTGAAAAGTAACAAGACTAGGTGTGTTGTGTGAGCTCTAGGAGAAAGAGGGAGAAGTGAATTGTGTTATCATCAGACATGATATCATGGGAGTATCTTGGGAGTATATAAATGTAATCTTAGATTTCTGCAAGCATTGCATTTTTTTTCACATGCTTTTGTGGCAGGAAAAATCATGGCTGTTTCACTACAACAATGTGCATGCTCACAGCTCCCTGAGCATCCAGTTTTTCCTGGCTGAGAAGAACCTTGCCTGACTGGAACAACCTCTCCCTCTATATATATTAGGTTGAATAATAAATGATTTACATTTTGTTCATCAACTTTATTCCACAAAAAGTAAAGTGCAATTATACAAGGTGTGTCTGAAAAATAATGAGACTGAGTGTGCTGTGTGAGCTATGGGCAAAAGAGGAATAAACAAATTGTTTTATCTGGGGATGAGCTTGAACCCCAACAGATGGTCAAGGAAAGGGACTTTCTTAAGAGAACAACCTTTCATAATGATAGGTGTAAATTCAGGAGCCTCATTAAAACTACAATCACTCATCATAATTGGAGAAAAGTCAGGGTCTACTTTGAGGTAATGTTATTAGTTTGGTTTTGGGGGCATTGAATGTGATAAGCCAGTTAAAACTAGATTAGAGGAGAGATCAGCTGCCAGGCTCTGATATTTACAGTGTCATATAAAATATTTCATTAATGTATATTTCAGTGTTTTTAAATGGGTTTGTTTAGAACTGAAATTTCCAATTTTTTAGACTTAGCTTATAAATTCGTTATCTGATGTAATCGCTTTTATTAAAAGTTAGATTAATAAAGTTGTTAGTGTGTCTTTTATTGTTGGAAATATCAGTTCAATTACTAATTGACTAAATATATCTTCTGTTTTTATTTACTGTTTATAGTGAAAATATAATTTAGATTCTTTCTTTAATTGACCATGTTTAGGCTTACCTGTTTTATAAAACTGGTATGACCTCATCTATTGATGACTAAAGATATTTTAGTTGCCTTGTGATTGTTATATTTTATAAGTGAAAGTGTTAAAGAGGATAGAAAATATTTCAGTATATTTAATCATTGCCAGGTGAAGTCATCTTAAAATACTCTGGTGGTAAAAGCCAAAAAAAAAAGATCAAAGAAAATTGGCCCACTATCCATTTATGACATCAGCTATCATTAATAGATAAGACTCAAGTGGTAGAGATAAAGTTTCAAGAAATCAAGAGTGATATAGACTCTAGACAATTGTTGGAGGAACACTCCTATGAAAAAAAGAAAAAGATCATAATCTCCCATATCTAGACAGTCTAGACAGAGAGAGGGTTGAAGATAGTGAGGAGATAAAAGCTCCCAAAAGAAATACCAGTGAAAATAAGGGGATAAAACCTTTTCGGTACAGGGAGATGAGGTGACTCATTTAGATATGAATGCTATTACTCCTGAGGCAGTTGAATGCATACTACTTTCCATGAGTCCGTAACACTACACTACAGAAATATTATTTTATAGCTCAGCAAAAAGATGATTTTTTGCTTGAGCAAAAAGAGTACTGTGTTCTTAACTCGGCAAAGTTTTAAAATTTCTTGATTGAAAATTATACAGCTAACCTTCGAGGTCTTTTCACATTTATATAAAAGGAAGTGAGTTTAGTATACAGCTTTGAATCTATTGTTTCATTGTAAAAAGGTGAACAATTTCACTCTTGAATACCCAGCAACTGGCAAGACCTTGACAACTCACATTTTACTCTCAACAAATTTTCTATACAATCTAAAGGACAGACTGCCAATAATAAAATTATCTTCTATAAATTATGTGTATCTTTGTGTGTAGAGGTTTCTAAATAACCTTTCGTTATTAAAGGTCATTCATAAAGCTAATGTATGAATATTTTTTTTCCTACTTCTGTCATATAAAAGTCAGCAGACTCTTATCGTTTTTATATTTTTGCAAATTTTAAAAGTTCAAAACAGTTACAACGAAATTCTAGTTGAAATGTCAAAATTTTCCGAGCCCTTTCAGTGGAGCTAAGTATACACTAACTATATACCCAGCAGATAGATAACACCTTCCTCCAAAAAGAGCCACCCTTCAGGTGGATGCTTGCATGGCTAAGTATAATACAAATTTCTGTCTATTTTTTTATTATAATACAAACTGCCTACTCATATCTAGATTATTGTCCTATTTAAATAACTTAAAAAATTGCTGATTTGTCATAAAATTAACCACCAAAAGAACCAAAATCAGGATTTTTCATCCAATTGAGTTAATGGTATTGAGATTCACTGTAACTAGGTTTGAAATCTTCCTGAGCCAAATTCATTGCCAAATATCAAAATTAACCAAAAGAGAGTTCTTGTGAGCTTCAGAAATTGTCTTTGAACCATAGAAAACTTTCCCAGGTTTGTAATAAAAGTTTCTAAGGAAAATTTCATCAGTTGAAAACCTATCAAATAGAATCTCTTTATCAGTTCGTGCTTTCGTGCTTAAAATATTTCTACTGTTTGTACATAAAAAAGTTGAAAAGCAGATAAATGTAGATCTTGTTGGGAGGATAATGATTGTAAAGTTAATTTGGGTAATTTGCAGCGTAAGCCTTGCACTCAATTCTAATGAAAATTTCCATTTAGGTGTAAATTTACATGCTTAATTAAAAAATAACAGTAAATGTTTGTGGAAATCTATGGTTTTGGCGTTATTGGCAATAAAAGTTCAAACTCATTTGCATCATGGCTACAGCATGGCAGCCATTACTGGCATTTTTTACATATGTTTGCCTCAAGTAGTCATGCATTGAAGCTTCAATTGTCATGATTAATGAACACACAATGCCCAAACTTTGTGTGAAATTTAAAAAGAGCATGATTATTTACAAAATAAAAAAAAACATGCTAGAAAGGAAATAATAATAACAAGAACAAATTTAAGGTTTAAATTTTTAAAATTAGTTTTATTATTTATTTTATTATTTAATTTGTCTTATTATTTATTAAAAAAAAAAAAAAAAGGCTTCACTATAAAAAAGCAACACTTGTCATTGCTTTTCTAAATAACTTAAACAAATTTACCAAAAAAAAAAATTCATACTTCTTTTGGTTTTGTGCAGTAATTGAGATGAGTAAGATCAGTAAAAAGGCCATTAGCTAAGTATAGCTTCCACACATGACTACTTGAGGCAAACGTATGTAAACAACACCAGTAATGGCAGATGGACCTGATACTAATGAGTCCAAACTTTTATTGTTGATAACTCCAAAATGGTAGATTTTTTACAAACTTTTACTGTTAGTTTTTAATTAAGCATGTAAATTTACATCGAAATAGAAATTTTCATTAGAATTAAGCATGCAGCTTATACTGCAAATTACCTTGTTAATTTAGCAAACCATTATTATTGTGCCATGAGTTTCATTGTATGACTCTACATTTTTGGCATCCTGGGTATGATGATAAACTATATCCAGCAGCAAGGCCTCTGATCGGGAGGTTTTGAGGTGTGTGGAACTACCTCTTAATTACTGTTGTCCCCAGGTCCAGCCTAAACCGGAGTGGTAGCAACTGTTAGTTTCATCTATGGGCAAATAGTTAACCCCCAAAATGGGGTAAAAACACTATAAAAGTATAAAAAGATTTTTATTGTTAAAAATACCAGCAATACATTTTTTGACAAAAAACAAATATTATCAACAAGACTCTTGATAAAAACCTACTTTACAAAAATACGTCAATGAAACCTGATTTACAAACTGATTTCTTACAAAGAAAACATTCTATTCATACAAATCTATTCTAAAAATCTTGTTGGCATTGACATTGATATACCATAAAACAAAACAAGCAAAACCAAACTAAATCATCTACATTTTTTGCCTTGTGTCAGACTAAGCTAAATTTAATAAATACCTGTAGAAAATTATGGTGAGTTTATATAATAATTATTTAATAAAGGGCTTATTGCAATATCACTTTGAAAGAAACACTGGTTCACATACAATCACTGAAGTTAAGCAATATCAAGCTTGGTCAGTACCTAGATGGGTAACTGTTTAGGAATAACAAGTACTTGGATGTGTGGGTAGTGTAATTGATAACAGCTCGAAATTAGAGAGTAGTGTTCCAATTTCAGGTGGGTTTGTGATATTCACTTACGTGCAAATACCCTTGGGAAAGGTATGAATTCATCTCATCTCCTTCCAGCTATGGGTTAAATAGTAGGGCTTGTATCAGTAAAAATTATTATCCCCCCTCAAAATTCTTAAAATCTAAAAATATTTTCTGGTTTCAAAATAACTTGCAAAGGGTTGATAAATCATAAAAAAACAAATCCATCAATTAATTAATAAGGTATATATTTTTTAAATTATTGTAAACTATATAGGGTGATTACAAAATAAATAGTTTACAAAATTTATTGGAGCAAAACAAGAATATTGAGAATCAGAATAAATAATTTTATAGAAGAACAGCAATATAATATAAATGCTGAACATTTGGCAATGGGACAATAAGGTTTTTTGGCAGCACCTGGTCTTCTATTGTCAATGAACATTTGGTAAACAATGAAGAAACAAGTCATTGGATGCTGTTGAGAAGGCTTTCCAGTGTATTAAGTAAAATAATTTTTTTTTTTTTTTTTTGAAATGATGTTTTAGAATGTGTTTCAGGAAGTCACTGCAAATTAATGAATGCAACTACAATTAGTACAAGAAATTTGAAACAATGAGATATTTGTGCAAAGGTAAGACTTGGGAGACCATTGGTAACTGAAGAATAAATTTGTGTGTGTGTATGTGACAAAGGGCTCAGACAGCAAGGTGCTGGAATAAACTGCAAGAGTTTCTGTTATATTCCCTGCTAATAGGAATATATACTTGAAAAACAAAGTGGATAAAATAAGTAAAGGTTTATTGTAAAAAAGCCAGTAGAATAAGAATAAAGGTAACAGTTATACACAAGGTCGTCACAAGTCAATCCGGTAGTGAGTGCTGCTATTGGAAGGTCGATAGTTCTTGCATAAGTCTGAGTTGTATTCAACAGATCCTAGCTAGAGTATCTAGCAACTGCCCCCGGCAGTTACATGTGACACAAGGCTGAATTTACTGTGGGGTTCCCGAGCCTTGTAGCACCTGCATAAATGGGATCGGGTCAGTCTACCTTCCTGAACAAGACTCTGCCCTTCAGCTTAGCCTCATCAGGGTTCCTCTCTGCCTGAAGGCAGAGAGTTCGACCAGCACAGCTGGAACAGATTCCAGCTCGGCACTAGTCTGTTGACTTACAGATACTTATAGGTAGTTACTACCTTACTCATGGGGGTGAGAGGTTATTCCATTATATCAGTTTCTTTACAAGACAGTATCATAAATGTCAATATATTTTAGTTTTAATAAATTTTTAAAGTTATTTTTTGTAATTCTGGTTGGTTTTGTTTTGAAACATTTTAAAGTTTATTCCATATTTGTCAGCTGGAGTAGATACATTTTTAATTTTATTTAAATAAAATTTACATTATTTCCTTCTCTTTCTCTTTCATTCTTTCTGTTTCCTTCTCTTTCTCTTTCATTCTTTCTGTTTCCTTCTCTTTTTCTCTCTGTTTCTTTCTCTTTTTCTCCCTCTCTGTTTCCTTCTCTCTATCTCTCTGTGTTTCCTTATCTCTCTCTTTCTGTTTCCATCTCTCTCTCTGTCATATTGGACATAAATGAACGGAATTGTCTGTTTATGTAAATAAGCAGAGTAAGCATTAGGGCTACAGTTGCTAAGTGTACCTTCGTGTAGTAAACCTTCTATTTCATTACTTACCTACGAGTTTGTCTTCCTTATTTATTTACCTCTGTTATCTTGAAAACACAAGAAACAACACACTCTCTCTCTCTCTTTACTTCTTCATTCTCTGTTTCCTTTTTCTTCTCTCTCTCTTTTTTCTTCTTCTTGTTCTCCTCCTCTCTCTTTCTTTCTTTTTGTTCACCTCCTCCTCTCTCTTTCCTTCTTCTTTTTGTTCACCTCCTCCTCTCTCTTTCCTTCTTCTTTTTGTTCACCTCCTCCTCTCTCTTTCCTTCTTCTTGTTCTCCTCCTCCTCTCTCTTTCCTTCTTCTTCTTGTTCTCCTCCTCCTCTCTCTTTCCTTCTTCTTCTTGTTCTCCTCCTCCTCTCTCTTTTCTTTTCCCTCTCTCTGTTTCCTTCTTTTCATGATGTGAAATATTTGGCAATGTACATAAAAATGGAATATATGAAAACCAGTTAGATATTAAAAACTTATTTTACTTACCTGTTGACTATTTTACGTGAACATTTTGAAAACCCAAAACTCTCCGGAAAGGTATTACCATGGCAACCACAGCATTTTGTCTGGCAGAGTTACTGTGATATGGACTTTAAAAGTTTTCTTTTTTGTGTTTTGAAAATGCTCATATAAAGTAGTGAAATGTCAAAACTTTTAACAATAAAAACAAACAAGCCAACATCAATAAAATATCAAATTAAGGAACAAATATACTTGTATTTAATTAGCAGAAAAAGGAAAAGAAAAAATAAGTGACAAGATACAAAATATTTGAAAATAATGAAAATCCTATAGCACAGAAAAACTCTTTGATAAAGGTTTATAAAGGTACCGAAAACCAGGAAAATGATCCAAAATATAAAAAAAAATAAACAAACAAAAAAAACCTTAACAAAGAACATTTGTTGGTCTTTAATCAAATTTGTATAAATGAGAAATTGCTACCCAAATATACCATACACATACACTTTTTATTTACCAGCTGAAGTCCAATAGTTTTAATTATTAGTAGTTAAAGTTGAAAGAGCTTGATGGATAAAAATTGTCCTACTTCCTGACTCATTATAAGGAAGATGAGTGTTTTGGGTCATTGAATATTACATTGTTAAAAAACAATCTGTATTGTGTGTGTGTGTGTGTGTGTGTGTGTGTGTGTGTGTGCACATGACAGAATGAGAGAAACAAGGGAGTGCTGTCTAAAGTTCTAAAACAACATATTATTATTTCATGAATTATTCGGGTTAGTATCATTATCTTTATTGTTTTGATTCTAATGTTTTAGCCTTAAATCTGTCTTGGTCAAGTGTATGTTGTATCTGTTAGTCTTCTAGGACTTTTTAATAAAAAGAATCCTTTGTCAAAAATCTTTTCTTTGTTTATTTATGTTAACATTTATTTCTTCAGTTACAAGTTCACAAGCCTTCTTGACAGATATGTAGCACCTGTAAGGTGGAATATAGATTTAAAAAAAATAGTCTTCTTTGTCTCCTCTCTTAGTTTCCTCCTTAATCTTCTCTCTGTTTCCTTACCTTTTTGTTTCCTTCTTCTTTCTCTCTCTTTCTCCCCCCTCTCTCTGTTTCCTTCTTCCCTCCTCTCTCTCTGTGTTTCCTTCTCCCCCCTCTCTCTGTGTTTTCCTTCTCCCCTCTCTCTCTGTGTTTCCTTCTCCCCCCTCTCTCTCTGTGTTTCCTTCTCCCCTCTCTCTCTGTGTTTCCTTCCCCCCTCTCTCTGTGTTTCCTTCTCCCCTCTCTCTCTGTTTTCTTCTCATCTCTATTTCTTTCCTTCCTCTCTCTGTTTCTTTCTCCTCTTTCTTCTCCTTCTCTGTTCTGTCTGTTTCCTTCTGCTCCTCTCTCACTCTGTTCCCCCCTCTCTCATTCCTCTCTGTTTTCTTCTTTTCTTTTTCTGTTTTCTTTCTCTGTTTTCCTCTCCTCTCTCTCTTCCTTCTCACTCTCTCTCTCTCTGTTTCTTTCTTCTCTGTTCAGATAATATAGGATTCTAAATAAATGTATAAAAGATAATTAAAATTATTTAATGTTTTCATTGTTAAATTGAATTAAGTATGTTGTTTGAACTTGTTAAATATCATTGTAGTTATGTTAAATGTGAAATTCTATATAAGAAGTTTTTTAAGCTTGGCTAGTACTCTTCTGTGTATTGTGTCTCTTCAGAACATAGGTAATCATGGCTCTCCACAATTTCCTATCCTTTGTAGCTCTTAGCAATGTTTGTCTTTGTACTATTCCTTCTCTTTCTTGTTTTACTATCCATTCACAAGCTTATGTAGGTTACTCACTGCTTTTCTCTGCACTGTAAGTGTCAAATTTTCCAGGCTGCTTTTTCTCATTATATATACCAGAAATGTTAATAATTGTCTTTTTTGTTTCCATTTTCCTTAAAGCTTCTTCATTGCTTACATACTCCACCCATGGTATTGTCAGCACCCTTCTGTAGATGTCTTATCCCCTGTGAGGAAATTGCTCAACATTCACTGCCATATAAGATGATTGATTAAATGTTAAAAAATAAAATTGTTTGCTTATTCAACTACCTGTCTATAAAGTTGCCACACACACACACACACACACACAGGAACCTCGGTTCACAAATTTAATTCATTCCTGAAGGCCATTTGTAACCCAAAATGTTTGTAAACTGAAACTATTTTCCAATAGGAATCAATCTAGAGAAAAAATAGTCACAGTATAATAAAATTGGAAAAAAAAGCACAACACAACACAGGAATGTATACAACATGGCAGTCAACTCAGAAATTATTCCATTTGGGTTAACTCAGTTCAGCAATGTTCTTTGAGAACCGAAATTTTGTTTGATAACCGAGGCATTTTCATCTCAAATTTTCTGTTTGAAAACTGATTTGTTTAACATGTAAGACATTTGTGAACCAAGGTTGCACTATATATAAAATAATGAAATGTTTCCTAAGGGTGAAAAAAACAGTAAATGTTAAATGGGTTGAATTTTTTTTTCTAGGTTCAGCAACATAAGTAAATTGTGATTGATCTGAATAAGTAGGGGAACTTTATGCAAAATATTCTTAAGGATTTGTCCCTTGGAGTTACATTGTTACTATTATTTTACTGACCACTTAATTTAAAAAAAAATCTTTTTTAGATAGTTTTGCTTCCTTTTGGCAAATTAACTACTGGAAGGTCCCAAATAAAAATCAACCTAATTTGTAGAAAAATCATATAATTCTGCTTCTCCCTTCATGCCTTAGTTAGCACATACATTACACATTGTAATAGCTTGCCTGTTCCTTGCCTAAAAATTTAGCTTGCCTGTTCCCTGCCTACAAATTTAGCTTGCCTATCCTCTGCCCACAAATTTACCTTGCCTTTCCTCTGCCCACAAATTCTTGCTATTGCAGCAGCTCATAGAGTAAATCTCTAACCTTTTTTAACTGTTAGAACACTGCATTATTAATATTAAGTTTCCACTGCATTCTTTTTCAAGGCCTCTCAATTTTACTATCCTTATTGTTAATTTCATTCAAAGTTGTTTTCTGTTGCCATAGTAGGATATGATAACACAACTATGAAATTTAAACACACTATTGTTCAGGGATCAGAGTCACCTTCAGTGTCAGGAGAAACTTTTTGTATAGTATATAAAGTCACATATAGAGTGATAAAGGTTAACTTTCTCGGCAAGCCACATTTTGGGTTGAATTGAAGCTACATATATGTGTTTGTAGTAAAAAAAGAAAAAGAAGATAGAGAAATTGATAATGCTCTTGTCTGTTTAATATCTGTGTCAGTGAAATTGTATAGTAATATCACATATGCCAGCCTGAAATGATTAGTTTCATTCATAATAATGAGCAAAAATTTTGGAATTTCCATGGTTACATGATTAAAAAATATTGATGTCATAAAAACCTATTTGAAAAAAGATTATGATGTGATATATAGTACATTGCTGTATAGATATTTAATGAATGCTTACAATTTATCCCTCTTAAAATGAAGACAACATGTCAAATGTCAACTGTAGAATTTCTATAGGTCCAGCTAGTGAATAATTAAAAATTTAAAATAATAACCAGAATCGGTTGCATTTTCCAGAATTGTTTTACTAGTTTTAACCCATGAAAATTTGATGATTTTCCTATTGTAATAGTCTGATGAATCTTAATTCTTAAGTTAATGTTTGAGTAAGTTCATGGTAAGTTCTATGACAATGAAATATTTATAGAAATTCCCCTATCATATTGTTGACTATTTGAGCTTAACAACTTTAACAAAATATTGCAATAACAATAATAAATATGAATGCTGGTTGTTATTTTAAGAAGTAAGGGGATACAAATTGAATCAATTACTAATTATGCAGCTAAGACAGTTGGTTCACTATGTTGTGTGAGACAATTTTTCTTGCCAGAATATAACTTAATATTTATAAATGTCTACCATTCATCCTTGCTTTGAATATTATTGCTGCTATATATTTAGAAATTCTTGATAAAATCCAAAGAAGAATCTGCAATGTTATTGGTCCTGACCTGGCATCTTAGATTGCATCCCTTTTCCATTGCCTTAATGTAGCTTCCCTGTGCCTTTTCTATAAATACTTTCATGATAATTGTTCTGATGAAGTTTCCTCTATGGTACCTAGACTATATGAATTTAAGTGCAGTACAAGATTGGTAGCAAGGTCTAATCATTTTACATACTATGCTAACACTAACAGTTTCTTCTATTACACTTCTCGTTTGTGGAACTCTCTTCCAACTTCTTGCTTCCCAGTCAATTTTGATCTTTAAAAATTTAAAAGCAGTGTCAATTGTTATCTTCTGTCTTCTTAATTCTTGTTCTTTTATTGTTCTCTCTCTCTCCTTAATAGTAGTTTTCTCATATTTTCTCAGTAAACTCTTCCATCCTAGTGGCTTTATTAAATTGCTTGGGGTGAAATGATTGCAAAAAAAATCAAAGCATTTTAAAGTTCCAACTTTTTCCAATTTCACTGAAACTTCTTTCTTTCATTCATTTATTTTCTCACTGAAACCAAGTAGTGTCCTCTTTTATCACATGATCAAAATGGAATAGTTCATTATTTATGAGGTATTAGCACAGCATAGTGGTCGTGCGAACTAACAAAGAGAAGTACAAGAATAATAGGATATTGTCGTAGTAGTAGTCATTGTTAGAGTACAAATTTTATTTTAGCTATAAATAATAGAACCTTAGATTTATTAACAGTGGCAATATGGGAAAGACATTAATTGTTATATAATATTTTTTTTGCAGCTTTTTTTTTTTTTTTAAAAAGTACTTAAGCAAAAAAACTCTTTTCCAAGAACCTAGCCCAAATCTTGATAAGTTGCTAAATTTGCTTCCAAAGAGTGGTAGCTGCAGACACTGGTTAATCTTCTCTATATAAGGTTTCAATAGATGTCTGTGCATTGAAGAGCTGCAAGAATGTATAAAAATACCTCAGCTGATGTACACAATTCACAAAACTGTATTTACTGTTAACCATTAGTATCTTATAAGTAGGTATCTCCAAAGAAAAGTGATACCTAAGGTTTAAAATGAAAAATCTTTCTTGAACCTTTTATTTTAGTTTTAATTTCTAGCTAATAGATTTAATATTTCCAATAAGCAAAATACTTTGCTGTATTTCAAAACAATTTAAATTGATTGGAATAAGTGTTTTTTTTAAATTCCTAAAAATGTCTGATTTTAGTCATATTTACAAATGTCTTAGCACAACGTAATTCTCTTTATAAAAAAAATCTTTCAAAAATAAAATACTTTTTTGAAACTTTATTTGAGTAAGCTTAGCTGATTAAAGTTTAATCAGTATGATTTGAAACAAATATTACTTTTAGTTTAAAATATCACAGAAAAGAATTTTTTAACATGAAGGTGGGTGCTTTTATAAGGTGTTGACAACTATCTTGAGAGACATCTTTGGATTTTTTTTTCTACGGGTGGGTGGATATATCTTTAAAAATTACTTGATGAATATATTTTTATATAATTTTTTAACTACCCAGTAATGTTAAAAATTTAGGAAAATATTCTGAGTATTTTAATGTTTTATTGAATTTTAGGTACTTTGGCTTTAAATTAACTACAGTTTCCACTCTTATTTTCTGCTAATGTTGTGTATGAATGTACCTATTTACAAAAATCAGCACATTTATACACACACAAAAAAGTTATTTATAAAATACTGGGTTTGTAGTAAGGTTTTTCATTTATGATGAGTAAATATAGTTTTTACTTACTAACAACATCACCTAACCAGTACAAATTGATACATAATTTTAAAAGATTTAAAACTATAAATAATTCTAAATAAAATTTAAAAAAAAATGAAACTTGTAAAATTTTACTATTCATAGAAAAAAGTTTTTTTCTGAAAACAATAGTGTCTTTTAATTTAATTTAATATATTTTATTTATAAAAACAATTAAAAGATTTTCTAATGAAATGATGTCTTAGTTTTATTGCCTTTTTTATTTTATGATTTAGAACAGCTTTTCAGTAACTGGGGATTGTGTATTACAAAAAAAAATGATTTAAATTCTCCAAAGACTTCTGTTTATGACTAATATAAACTTTAAGTCATACAAAAATGTATGTATTTCTCAAAATTTCATAAAAAATTAAAAAGTGGTTGTGTGTGTGTGTGTGGTGTGGGGGGGAACAGATGTAAAAAAAAAAAATATATTTTTACCAAGATTTTCTATAAAAAAAAAAAGGAAACACTTCTAAAATAATTTCATTTATTTGTGAATAAGTCTTGAAAGTTTCATTAAAATCTGACAATTATTTGATTTTTACAAGAATTTCCAAATCAATGGATTTTTCATCACAAAAAGAGGCTAAAATTTCCTATACAAATTTATAGTCACATGCTAATGCAAGAAAAAAGAATTTTTAACCAAAATTTTGAAAATTCTAAAAAGGATTAAAAAATATAATTTAATAATAAAAAATCCTTTGTTCTTTACTCTTAATAATAGCAAAGATATTGACGATATTGGCGCATTTTTTCATCATGGTATGCTCTCTTTTTTTTTTTTTTTTTTTTTTTTAAATCTTTGACATACTGTTATGGAAATCAATTCATAAAAATGGTACAGACATTTAACAGCACTCATTCCTACCATCTTGGGTCATTTGGTTGCACTTGTATACTTTTATATACCAGGTTGTTAGGATGAACAAAAATGAATAAAAATAAAAGACACATAATAACACATAATAAAATAACTTTTATTCATTTACTTCCTGAGAACAATAAGGATTTGTTTCGATTTAAACCATAAGTTCCATGTGTGTGTGTGTCAGCTTATTACCATGTTGAATTTAGAAGTGCTGCAGTTCAACAAACGAACAAGGGCCATAACTCAATTGCATATTTTTTTTATAAGGGGAAGTTAACATCCCTTGACACCTCCTCTTTTTAACCTTGTGCTTGTATGACTTTTGTCAGGGATTTAATTGCAGTGGGTATGGCTTACTTCGTAGTTGATGGGATTTCTTTGGTGCACTTTTTGCTGGAGTCCTATCTTTGTTTCTTGGCATTACTTGGAAACTTTGTTCAGGCAGTTTGAATGTGTCCAATAGAATATCCAACAGTAGAGTTTAATTTGGTCTCTGGAAGGTTTGATGATAATAAATGGTTGGCATGTCAAACCCAGACTGAAGACTGTATATCTTTGTCATATGTAACATTTTCAGAGAGACGTATAATTCATTCTTGGATACATTTTTCTTTACTGTTTCGGTAATCTTTTGCAAGTACAGTTTGCTCCATGATGATGGTTAAATTGTTCTTCCATCACTTTGTTCCTTTTTAGGGAATGGTTTGTAGTTGGATGGATAACATCTATGTGTAAACAAACTTTACAGTTCATCATTACTTCTGCTGGTGAATTTCCATTAGGTGCGTTTGAAATGGGTGTAGCTCTGTAATTTTCTAAGAATATTTCTAATTGACGTGATCAGCAAATGTCACATAATCATCATCGTCATCTTTTCATTAGCTTTAAACAAATATTAAACAAAGAATTTTTTCTCTGAATACTTCACTGAGTTGTTCTACTGTTTCAGTGAAGGTGAAATCCATTGCCTGCTTTGGTAAAATATAATTCGTATAACGGTCATGTTCCTTAGTGCCCAGTTTATCAATTGGGAGACAAATTTTCATTTTTCATTTTTCTAAGAAAAGTTGTTTAAACCATGAAACGAATGTTTTTCCGCTCGCTAGGCCTTAGTTGAATTCTGTGATATTGTTAGCCAAGATATCTGCTGAATTGATATTTTGGCTTGTTCCAGCATGGAAAATTTTGATTGATTCTGGAACTGTGCAGTCATTGCTGTCAATAATTGTTCTTGCCATTGGCATAAAATCTTTATAAGCA